TTGGTTTCCTCCGTCACTGAAGGAAGCAAGCCTCATGTTAGTTTCAAGCTGCCTGGCTGCCGGCCGCCATCTTGGCTGTAAGTTAATTTGCATATCTCCCTGATTAGCCAATGGGAAGGGTAGCGGTCGTACGCCAATTACCATGTTTCTCTTTTATTAGTGTAGATAAGTATTGGCATATAGTCCTGTATATCTCTATAAATCTATAAGATACAATACAAACGCTTGATGTAAATAAGGGAGTACAAAATATTTAATACATATTTATGGTAGAATATTTTGTTAGTCTATTTTTATTCTTTATTTCATTATTAAGTGTTCACTTTTTATGCATAAATATCATGTGGAGTTAATGAACAAAAACACAGTTGGATTGCTATAGTTGCTACATCAACATTTGTATACATTTAGAGTACACCTGGAAAAAGAGAAAAGAGAAAGAGAGAGAGAGAGAGAGAGAGAGAGAGAGAGAGAGAGAGAGGAGATAAATGTAGGTTTTTTCAAAATTAAATTTGGGAAATATCTGGAAATTAAAAATACTCTTTTATTTACTTCTGGATTACCTTTATAAAGGAAATTTAAAGTCAAAAGCTTCCCCACTAACAGAGATAGTCTCTCAAGAGCTTTTTTTTTTTTTAGTTTTAGTTTTAGTCTTGTTTAAATGCAGTCCATGAATTAATGACCTTTTAAGATCCCTTCTAGGCCTTTCTTTCAATTAACATATCTAAAATAAATAAAGGAGAAATAAGACAATTTGATCTTAACTTATACATGAAATGTCTTTCTAAAAATGTTTGATATAATTATATACAAAATTACATTTTCTCAGTTATAATTTCACATCTGTGTTTTCCACCAAGGATATTAGACCCTAACATATACACTACACTCAAGCATTCTAACATTCATTTTACATAGCTGTATATCTTTGTGTATATCCTACATTTCTAAAATGTAAGCTATAAAGGCATTTAGTTTAAATTGTAAGGAATTTGGAACATATGTCCTCCTTCATTAAAAGCACACATTCACTCAAAAATCCATTTAAAAATTGGAGAGCCCATTAAGTCCTGGGTTTTGCTAGGCATCATTGCTACAAGGATGTATGTCTCAGTCACTGTCCAGTGAGTATTGTCAGCAAGTAGGAAGCACTAGACCCTCCTCCCCACCACATACACACCCCAAAAAGCACACAATTCAACAATTCCAGGACAAATTCCTTTTTTGAAAAATCCAGAAATTAATTGAAAGGCATCAGCACCTCAGGTGAACCTGAAAACACTCACTGAAACCAGTAAGAAGGTTTTTGGATACCCTCTTGCCACAATCCGTACCCATGACACAGTATCATATGATCAAGACACCCTCTACCCCCAGCTTCTCTCAAGAGAGGAAAAGTGTCAGATTATGCATTTATCTTCTCAATTTTTCCAAAGGTGCTCTGCGTAGAACTGGCTTCTGTCGTGCCATATGTATAACTCTGGTGGGCTTAGAACTGTCTAGCCACCAAGGGGAGAACGGAGACAGTGGAATACACTGGTAGACATCATTTATACTCCTCATTGTTCAGCATACTGTGAGTAGATGAAATTCCAGTTTTCATTTTCCATCAGGAAGGGAAAGGGTTGATTCATGAGTCTAATGCTGGAATTACTCCAGGTTGGCTCGAAGAACTGACATCAGTTTTGCCAATCTTAGAACTTTGGCAGCTCCAACATAGCCTAGCCACATGAAGTAGAAAAGAGTCTTTGGCTTGGATGGTAGACAGCATAACTCCTCTCCCCAGCTCAGCACAGTCCAATCAGAAAAACAAACAAACAAACAAAAAGCAAAGTTGCCTGTTTCAACCTGGGGAGGGAAAGAATTGATCTGTGTTTCCAAAGCCATAACTTTTCTAGAGATTTACCAAAGAACTGGATTCTATATTGCCTACCTCAGTGCTGATAGGTCATGGCATAATCTAGCTACCTGTGGGAAAGTGAGAATATAAACAGATTTGTGCTAGCAGTTACAATAGACCCTCCCTCCAGGTTCAGCATAGAGCAGTGGATTTTAAAAATCCACCTTTAAGCTTCTATCTGAGGAGGAAAAGGGTTGAATGGAATATCCAAAGATTCAATTTGGGGAGGGGGGACAAAACCAAGAAACTGGATTTATTATCACATTTTCTGGTGAATGTGTAGGATCCGTCATATCATAGATGCATAGGGACAATAAAAAAAACAAAAAACAGAAAACGGGTTGAAATATTATGAACATTTGATAGGTACTGAGAATCTGTGAAAAGATTGGTCAGGGTCTTCTCCTGTACAAGACCAGAACATAAAAAGCAAGAGAGGTGACCGCTTTGCATAATGCACAGAAACCAACACAAAGAATTAAAATAACTAGGTATAAATGTCCCAAACAAAGAAACAAGATAAATCTCCAGAAACCAACCCTAATGAAAGAGAGTTATAGGATTTTCTTGACTGATAATTTGAATAGTTGTCATAAAGATAACAGAGGTAAAGAGAGCAAGACATTAGCAAAGTGAAAATTTTAACAAAAGGACAAACATATGAAAAAGTATCAAACAAAAATCATGGAGCTTAAAAACAGTAATTGAACTGAAAAAAAATCACTAAAGTATTTCAGCAACAAACTAGATAAAGCAGAATTAAGAAACAGCAAGCTCAAAGTAAGTCACTAGAAATAATACAAACAGAGGAACAAAAATTTTCAAAAAATAGTGAAAAAGTGTGAATAAACTTTAAAGTAATTACAGGTAACTATCAAAAGAACCAATATATACATTATGGGAGTCCTGGGAAAAGAGAGACAAAAAGGATCAAAAAGCATATTCTGAAAACTTTCTAAATCTGGGAAAGCTAATTGGCATTTAGGTTCAAGAATACCAAAGGAGAAAAAATAAGATGAACTCAACAAAATCCACACTAAAGCTAAAAATTCTGTTAATATTCAAATACCAAGGGAGAATATTGAAAGTAGCAAGAGAAATTGACCCATCACATACAAAAGGATCCTAATAAGACTACCATTTGGATTTTTCAGCAGAAACCTCTCAGGCTAGAAGGCATTGGAATTATATGCTCAAAGTTATGCTCAAAGAGTGGCCACTAAGAATACTATTCTTGACAAAACTCTCCTTAAAAAATATAGAAGAAATAAAAAATTTCCCTGACAAACAAAAGAAGAGGGAGTTTATCACCACTAGATGTGCCAAGATATTCTAAAGTGAATTTTTCAATTTGAAACCAAAGGAAACAAAACAGCAGTATAATAGCATAAAGTATGAAACTCATTGGTATAGGTAAATATATACATATGCATGATTCTGTTTTACTGTAATGGTGTTAAGTAAAAAAATATATTTCTACTATAGTAAAAGTTGAAAAAAATATAATTTAAAAGCTACAAATTGTTACATTATACAAAATAAGAAGATATGCAAATTATGACAACAATAACATAAAATGTGTGTGTGGGGGGGTAGTAGAGAGTTATTTTATGCGAATGACCTTAAGTTGATATCAGTTTAAAATAAAGTGTGATAACTTTAAGACATTATATGTTAGCCCCAAATTAACACAAAAATATATATGTAAAATTATACAAAAGCAAAAGAGAAATGACTAAAACTGTATCAATACAAACAAACAAAAAACACAAAGAACAACAAGAGAAGAAAATACCAATTAAAGAACTAAAACATGAGCAGAAAACAATTGTAAAGTAGCAATAGTATATCCTATCCTATTAATAATTACCTTAGATATATGTGGATTAAATTCTTCAATCAAAAAACAAAAAAATGGCTGAATGGATAAAAAATAAGTCCTACCTAGATGCCATCCATAAGAAAGTCACATTATACTTAATGGTAAAAATTTAAAAGATTTTCCTCTGAGATCAAGAGCAAGGAAAAGATGCCCACTTCCACCACTTTCACTTAACAAAGAGCTGGAAGACTTAGAGCAATTAGGACATTTTAAAAATGCATTCAAATCAGAAAGAAAGAAGTATAATTGTCCAGTTTATAAGTTACATGATTTTGTATACACATAACTCCAAATACTCCATAAAAACTTTTATAACAATAACAGTATCTAATCTAATAAAAGAGAAACATGCAAATTGACTGTCCCTCCACTACACTCCCCAGCCATGCCCACCAGCCAATCAGGAGTGAATATGCAAATTAACCCAACTAAGCTAGTGGTTAATTTGCATAGTAGGCACCAGTGGCCTGGGTCCAGGAAACATCATAGGGCACCCAGGTCACTCTGAGGTAAGCTCCGTGTGGGCCTTGAGCAGCCTAGTAAGGGCCTGAGCCAGGGGGCTCCTGGGCAGGGCCTGAGCCTGCAATCAGAGCCGAGGGGGCCCCTGCCCAGGCCTAAGGCTCGGCCAGAGGCTTGAGGCCTGGGCAGGGGGCCTAATGCCTGGCCAGAGGCCTTAGGCCTGGGCAGAGGCCGAGCTGGGGATCGGTGTGAACTACAGAGGAAACACCTTTTCTGACGCTCATTGGTTAAGCTTCCTGTATGGCACTGGTAATATTCTTAGTAACTTGGGTAATAATAATCCAAGAAGGTGACCTAGGGTTTTTCCACCACACTCCTGGAGAAAAAAATGAAGGTCCGGTGCTGGAGGGCTAAGAAATGTCAAATCCTGCCCTAGCTGGTTTGGCTCAGTAGATAATGTCTCGGCCTGCCCACCGCAGGGTCTGGGTTCAATTCTGACCAAGGGCATGTACCTAGGTTGCAGGCTCCTCCCTGGCCTGGGCCCAGGTCAGGGCTCATGCAGGAGGCAACAAATCAAAGTATTCCTCTCACTTTGATGTTTCTCTCTTTCCCTTTCTCTTCCACATTCTCTAAAAATCAATGGAAAGATATCCTCAGGTGAGGATTACAAAAAATAATTAAGAAATGTCATATCCTATGAAAGACACATCTTGAAAATGCCTAAAGAAAGTTGTCATTTTTTTATGGTGAGGGACTGGAGTCCATGTTGATGAAAACACCTTGGTGGCTGTGGTGACTGGCAGTGGCTGCAGCAGCGGGGTGATGGGGTTGGCACCTTCCTGTGATCAGCCCGGTAGCCTTTCTTTGTGGAGCAGGGAGCGGGCCTAAGCTGTCAGTAGGACATCCCCTGAGGGCTCCCAGTATGTGAGAGGGGGCAGGCTGGGCTGAGGCACCTCCCACCCCAGTGCACGAATTTTGTGCACCGGGCCCCTAATAATATTATAATATTAACAGTAAATTAATATTAATTCAGTAAGTTGCAGGATATAAAATCAACATACATATATCATTTACTTTTTTGTACACTATCAATGAACTACATGAAAAAAGAAGTTAGGAAAATGAGCTCATTTTCAATAGCACCATAAAGAGCAAAATACTTAGGAATAAACTTTATTATGGTGGTCAAATACTTGTATACTTGAAACTATAAAAAAAAATAAAACTGATGGAAGAAATTACAGGAGAGAGAAGCAAATGGAAAGACATCCTGAATTTTTAGAATTAATATGTTAAAATTTACATAATATGTTAAAATGTCAACAGATCCAGGGCATTTGATATTGAAACGTCAATGACAATCTTTACAAAAATCAAAAACAAAATAAAATACGTATGGAATCATAAAACCTCATGAAGAGTCAAATCAATCTTAAGAAAGAAGAATAAAGCTGGAGGTATCACACCTGCTGATATGAAAATATACTATGAAACTACCATAACCAAAGCAACATGGTACTAACATAATCTACATACATATAGATGGATAGAACAAAATACAGATCTCATTAATAAATACATACATATACAATAAACTGTTTTTTTTGTAAGGGTGCCAAAAATATACATAAAGAAAGGTTAGTCTCTTCAACAAGTGGTGCTGGGAAAATTGGATATCCACATGCAAACGAATGAAATTGGACTCTTAAATATACATAAAAATCAACTCAAAATTGACTAAAAACTTAAATGTAAGACCTAAAACTATAAAAATTTCCAAAAAAACAAAAACCGGGAAACTTTATAACATTGGTCTTGGCAATGATTTAATGGATATGATATCAAAAACACAGACAACCTAAAGAGATATTTCTCCAAAATGGACATATAGATGGCCAAGAGACATATGAAAAAATACTCAAAATCACAGATCATCAGAAAGATGCAAATTAAAACGGCAATGAGGTATCACTTCACACATCAGAATGGCTGCTTTCAACAAATCGACAAATGACAGGTGCTGGTGAGGATGTGGACAAAAGGGAACCCTAGTACACTGCTTGTGGGAATGCAGACTAGTGTATCCATTATGGAAAACATTATGGAGTTTACAAAACAAAATTAAATATGAAGCTGCCATTTGACCCAGTGATCCCACGTCTAAGAATATATCATAAGAAAACAGAAACACCAATCAGAAAAAATGTATGCACCACTATATTTATAGCAGTGCAATTTACAATAGCTAAGATCTGGAAACAACCCAAGTGCCCATCTGGAGACCAGTGGATTAAAAAGCTATGGTATATTTACTAGTACACCATGGAACACCACGCATCAGTAAAAAGAAGGATCTCTTACCCTTTGAGGCAGCATGTAGGGACCTGGAGAATATTATGCTAAGCGAAATAAGCCAATCAGAGAAAGACAAGTATCATATGATCTCATTCATACGTGGAATCTAATGAAAAAAATAAACTGATGAACAAAATAAATCCAGAGACATAGAAGCATGGAATGAGCTGTTGAATCTCAGAGGGAAGGTGGAGGATGGTGAGTGGGTGGGATAAGGTCAACCAAAGAACTTGTATTCATATATGCATAACCCATGGACATAGACAATAGGGTGATGGAGGCCTGGAGTGAGGTGTGGTAATGAGGGTAGAATGGATCAATGGGGGAAGAAGGAGAACATATGTAATATTTTCAACGGTAAAGATTTTTAAAAAATAAAATGTGGGACTACAACAAACTAAAAGGATTCTGCACAGCAAAGTTTACAATCAACACAGTGGAAAGGAAATCTAGAGACTAGCAGACAATATTTGTAATCCATATATTTGATAAGGGGTTAATCTTTAAAATACATAAGCAAGTCTTACAAGTCAATAGAAAAAATACACACACACACACACACACACACACACACACATACACACACACACGCGCGCGCGCGCGCACGAAAAAATTAACCACTGTAGAAATTGGACTAAGGGCTTGAATAGGCATTTATTAAAAGAAGACATGCAAATGGTGAACAGGTATATGATACATCACTAAATCAACAAGAAAATGCAAATCAAAGCTATAATGAGATATCACCTTACATCTGACAAGATGGCCATCATAAGAAAAAAGGCATGAAAGGCTGATAAAGATGCAAAGAAATTAGAACCCTTGTACACTCTTGGTAGGATTATAAAGTGGTACAGCTACTATGGGAAAAAACTAAAAATAGAATCATCATATAATCCAGCAAACCCACTGTTGGATAGATATCTAAAATAATTGATATTATGATCTCAAAGAGTACTATTCACAAGAGCCAAGATGTGGAGAAAATCTAAATGCCCATTGACTAATGAATGGATAAAAAATTTTGTATGTACATTCAACATAGATTAACCATGAGAACATATTGCTAAGTGGTATAAGCCAGTTACATAATTGAAGATACTGCATGACTCTACTTATATATAGTCAAGTTTACCAGTATAGACTCAAATAGTGACATGGTGGTTACTAGGCTCTGAATTTATGGCAATATGGGAAGGTTCTAATAAAAAGGAATAAAGTTTACTTAAGCAAGATGAATAAATTCTAGAGATCTGCTGTACATTGTTTCTATAGTAAACAAAATATATGCTACTCTTAAAAATGTATTAAGAGGTTAGATCTCATGTTCAATGTTCTTACCCCATAAAATATTTTTTAAAACAGTCACTGCCCTTGAGAAATTCATAGTCTAATATATACCAAAATATAACATTTCAATTATTTTGCATTATTATACACTTCTTTTTTTGGAGAAAAAATTAGTTTTATTATGTCTACCATGTTTATTTCTCAAGATAATGTAATTTTGTAAGGGGTACAAGAATATATTTCCCCTTTTTAGTGTAAAACTAATTTCTTTAAATTATCTAATATAGATTTATCAAATTTTCCATGTAAAATAAAAGCAATTGAGAAAAATAAGTTTTTATAAATAATCACATTACATAAATGACATTCGGAGGACACTTAGACTAGATCTATTAGGGGCTCATTGACTTTCTCAGAAAATGTTTCAGGACTAAAATATGAACTGGGTTTATTCCGTAGTAGCTTTAAAATATTGCTATGCCCAGCTGGTGTGACTCAGTAGTTGAATGTTGACCTATAAATGAGGAAATCATGGTTTGATTCCCAGTCTGATCACATGCCCTGGTTGTGGGCTTGATCCCCAGTAGAGGGCATACAGGAGGCAGCCAATCAATGCTTATCTCTCATAATTGATGTTTCTATCTCTCACTTCCTCTTCTTTCCTCCCTGAAACCAATAAAAAATATATTTTAAAAAATATTGATGTGACTTGCCATGGCCAGTGCTCTCAGTGGTTAGAGCATAGGCCTGTGCACGAAAGGGTCACAGGTTCTATTCCTGATCAAGGGCATATACGTGGGTTGCAGGTTTGATCCCTGGCCCTGATTGGGGCTCTGCGGGAGACAACCAATTGATATGGACACAATGATGCTTGTCTCTCTCTCTGCCTCCCTCCCTTTCATTCTCTCTAAAAATCAATGGAAAAATATATCTCTGGGTGAGGATTAACAATATATATATAATAAAAGCATAATATGCTAATTAGAGCAGTGGTCTTTCTGGACGTCCTTCCTTCCGGACAAAGCCACAGCAGGCAGGGAACATGGCAGAGGCGGCAGATGCCCCCGACCATGGCAGCAGTGAGTGGGGGCCGGGGCCAAGGCCCTTGCATGAATTTCGTGCATTGGGCCTCTAAAAACTATATATAGTGCTGTGGTTTAAATGCAAATATCTATATATATATATATAAAAGCCTAAGCGATCAAATGACTGTCACTATGATGCCCACTGACCACCTGGGGCCAGACGCTCAATGCAGGAACTTCCCCCTGGTGGTCAGTGCATTCCCACAGCAGGAGTGCCACTCAGCTGATGAACGGGTGCTAGACACTGGGCTCACGGCTGGCAAGTGCAGCTGCAGCAGCACGAGCCTCTCCCATCTCTGCAGCAGCGTTACTGAGCAGCAGCTGTGGCAGGTAGAATGGGGCCAAGCTGAGTGGAAGCGGTGCCCGGCCTGGATTCTGGCTCCTCCCCGGCCTCCTGCAGCTTCACGCACTACTACATCCCTCGGAGGATGTCAGACTACCGGTTTCGGCGTGATCCCCACAGTCCAACATCCCCCAAGGGATCCCGGATTGCGAGAGGGTGCAGGCCAGGCTGAGGGACCCCATTGGTGCATGAATCTGTGCACTGGGACTCTAGTCTAATCTAATAAAAGAGAAACATGCAAATTGACCGCACCTCTGCTATACCCACAAGCTATGCCCATCAGCCAATCAGGAGCGAATATGCAAATTAACCCAATTAAGATGATGGCGACCACGGAGCTGGAGCGAGCAGGGGGTTTGGGTTGCCGCTGGTAATGGAAGAGCCAAGCTTCGCACCTGCTCTGCCTGCCCAGAGCTCCACTCAAGGTTGCACATTTTCAATTATAGAAAAATAAATCCCAGATACCTGCTTCCAGCTTGCAGCGATGGCCAGCCTGAAAACGGCCCTCAGCCCCTCACCCAAGCTGGCCACACCCCCATGGGGTGAGGGTCCCCGCTGGGGGGCTTGGCCAGCCAGAAAACGACCCTCAGCCTCTCACCCAGGCTGGCCAGGTACCCCAGCGGGACCCCCACCCTGATCTGGGACACCCTTCAGGGCAAACCAGCAGGCCCCCACCTGTGCACCAGGCCTTTACCCTATATAATAAAAGGGTAATACGCAAATTGACCCTAACAGCAGAACGACTGGGAATGACTGGTCACTATGACACACACTGACCACCAGAGGGCAGATGCTCAATGCAGGACTTGCCCCGTGGTGGTCAGTGCACTCCCACAGGGGGAGCTCTGCTCAGCCACAAGCCAGGCTGATTGCTGCCTGCACAGCGGTGGTGGCGGGAGCCTCTCCCGCCTCCTCAGCAGCACTAAGAATGTCCGACTGCAGCTTAGGCCTGCTACCTGCTGGCAAGTAGACATCCCCCAAGGGCTCCCGGGATGCCAGAGGGATGTCTGACTGGCAGCTTAGGCCCAATCCCCCAGGGAGCAGGCCTCAGCCAGCACGTGGACATCCCCCGAGGGGTCCCAGACTGTGAGAGGGCACAGGCCGGGCTGAGGGACACCCCCCCGAGTGCACAAATTTTTGTGCACCGGGCCTCTAGTTTATTTATAAGTGAGATATTCTGACATTGAAACCTAACCCAAATTTCAATTGCTTCAGTGTATAAAAGCAAAATAATTTGAAAAGCACACACTTAGACAAGGGAATTACAAGAGAAGACAGTGTTGTGTATTAGGAAGCATACTATTTTTATAGAATTTGTTCTTGACTCTGGAGTTCTATGAGTCCACTTTCGTTTTCTTTTTTTTTAATTTTAATATATTTTATTGATTTTTTACGGAGAGGAAGGGAGAGGGATAGTTAGAAACATCAATGAGAGAGAAACATTGATCAGCTGCCTCCTGCACACCATCTACTGGGGATGTGCCCGCAACCAAGGTACATGACCTTGGCTGGAATCGAACCTGGGACCATTCAGTCCACAGGCTGACGCTCTATCCACTGAGCCAAACTGGTTAGGGCCCACTTTCATTTTCAATGTCTTCTATAACTTTTATAGTTAACTTGATTATTTTTAAATTTCAAACAAATATTAGCAGTTAAAATTGGAAGCTATTTTGTGATAATGGAATCAGCAATGGGCAGGGTACAAGAGGATGTGTATTTTCATTCTGTTTAGGGTACTGTGAGACCTTGGGGTAGTCACTTCATGTAAGTGGTTTTTATTAATTCTTCACTTACCAGACAATCTATATATATAAAAGGCTAAGTGTCCATCTGTCCAACCAGTAGCTAAGACACTCACTGACCACCAGGGGGCAGACGCTCAATGCAGGAGCTGCCATGAGGCACACTGGCCATTTAAAAATAAACGGCACCACAGACCTGGTGTGGACAAACCAACATTCGGCTTCCCCCAAGCACAGGCCCCACTACCATTCTGGAGGGACAGCCCACCAAATCAGAGCCAATGTTGCCAAGACCCCATGGTGCAAAAGGCAGCCCACAGCCCAGCCCAGCCCAGAAATGGTTGCTGTGGGCACCGGATAATGATGTCGCATAGCAATGCCTGGCTTCCTCTCCCTAGCAACTAGCCTCCTTGGAGTTTCTTCAGCCCAGGAACCGGACTTGCTTTATTCCCAGGTGCAAACATTTCACACTTTAACCAAATGTCTGTGAAGCATTTTCCCATGCCTCTCTCATTTGATCCTCACAGAAGTCCTGGAGTAGGTAGATAGGAGACTCAGTAGAATCCTATTTTCTTTTCATTAGCAAGACACAAATAGCGATATTAAAATATTTCTTCTAATTAATTTCCTTTCAATGTGCACTACTCTGTGCATGAGGACACTAGTGTTGCATGAAATACAAGTTACAAAAGGCCCAATTACAATAAAAGCTTCCATATTTTATCTTGGAGTGTCAGAAGCACTCTAGTTCTTTAGAGGCTCTGAGGAAATGTAAAGGGAAATTTTTTAAAAGCAAACAAGAATTTTTTTAACTTTGATTTTGAATTTTTTAGATTTGACAAAAGAATTACTTTTTCTATAAAAGATCCATTTTAATCCAGTAGAAGTGTTTTTAGTAACACCTACTTGAGATAACTTTAGCCTATATGATCTCTGTTCTGTTAACATTTCTTATATAAGAAGATAATTACATTTTTAAAACAAGGGCATATGAGGTTACAAAGCACACTGGTAAAATATAGCATATGTAACTTAATTTTCATTAATACTTTATAAATACATACATTCTTTATATTTGTGATTACCTAATTATGCCAACAATCTAGTAATTATTGCACATGATAGGCTTTTTATTATTGAATGTCTTTGAGAATGCCATTGCTCTATTTGAAAAGTGAAGGCAACAACTACAAAGTTAACAAATACCCATGATTGTTTGTGAGTTACAAACTGTTTCATTGAGAAATTTAACTGTATTATTAATTATATTATTAAGAAATTTAAGAGAAAACATAGCTTTTGCATGTGTAGGAAGGAACCCTAATCAGAGTACACTGTATGTTCAAGGCAAACTTTCCATATGCAGGTGCAAAAGCAAGGACACAGTAATCTTTCTGTATGCACTGCACAGGCCTACCTTTCTATAACCCAAATACTGATGTCACTATTTGTCAAGAGGTCTCTTTTGTTTGAGTTGGTATAAAGATGTGTTACTGACCAGCCAGTATGGGACTACTTTATGTGACAACTTTGTTAGCAACTGCTTCGTGAGGCTACTTTGAAGAGCTGTTTTTTCTGATGGCTTTTGTTAGCAATGGCTACTAGGTCTGCAATAAAGTTTCTCTATCATGCCTACAACTTCTCATATCTTCTCCACCTAATACCCGGCATCCACGGACGTCTAGTTCCTGGCAGGGGAACTGAGGCCCCACAGTTGGCATAGTTGAGCAGCATTCAGGAGTAAGTACTCCAACATCATGGTAACTCTATTCTGTGTTAAATGTTAGCTCCAGGCATTTTCACTACCTAATTGCTGAAATGTGATTATGGTGAACTCTGTTCTTATCAAATTTGATTTACAGAGCCTTGGCAGTGGTTACTCCATGTGGCATTGCTGACTCTGGGTCTTTACTTTAAGTATTAGTCACAGTTGTGTATCTCATAGCATCTTTACATTATTTCAAATAACCCAATTGTCTGTTTCAAGTACATTCTGTCCAAAACATCTTTGCTATGTATTATTTTGTGTATATTCTCAGACATCTGTGAGAGAAAAGCCACTCTGATTCAGAGTTTAAAGTATTAAATCAGGAAAGTTTATTGTTTGCTAAACCACAAATTAAATTAATTATCTCCTAAGCCACCCAAGATTGCCCACTAGTATCTAGTTTTTCAGAGTATATTAAGCAATTTATAAATTGATATTAACACTTTTCGGCTAGACAGGTATCATTTTGTGTACTGAAACAGTAATAAATTATAAGTTAATTTGTTTTTCAAAAGTGCTTTATTTTGTTTTCATGTATAGCATAGGCATTGAAAGTACCTGGTTCAATATTTTCTAAAGTTCACACTTTTATTCTATTTGTAAGTTGGTGTTCTGCAGGCACTAAAAGGCAGTGACATTCAAGCAGAAAATCTTTAAAGGAAAACAAGCTTCCTCAGCTCATTGACCTTTCTCTCATTTGATAAGCATTTAGATATTTTAGATTCTGAAGGTCAAAAATAAATCTTTTGTATTTATCGTTAGTCTAACTACATGTGCAATTCCAATAATCTGTTAAAAATGTGTTTTTCCTCTACCAACATAAAGTGTTTCTAAATAAATTCTCATTTTCTTTTATTTTTATGATACAATCAATTAATGAATCCAAATAAATTAACTTGTATCATTTATTTGTATAATTAACATTTAATATCAATGACTAATGTATTGTGATAAAAGGGCATTTTCTCTACATTCTTTTTTTTATTTGCTGTAAAAACTCATATTGGTTGGATATTTAAGGTGTAATTACTTGAGAATGTCACCATATAATTTTGAATGTATTCATATGTTAATACTGTAGGTTTATATATCTCTCCCTTTACATAGATACATATGACTGTGTATCTATCTTTATTTATCTAATCTATAATCATATTTTTAAGAGATCAGATTTAATATATTGAAAACACATGAAGGAGCTGCCCTTATTTCACTCCACATCTATTCTACATCATCTTGTCCATGACTTGTTATTTCTAAAGCATGACTCCGATTTTGTCACTCCTATTTGTTCAAATGCTCAATTTTGTTAAAAGATATTGAGTTAGACTAATATTCAAAAATAGTAATCATGTAGTCTCCACAGACCTTTCTAAGTAACTTTCTACAACAATCCTATCAATATACTCTTGTGTTCTATCTGAGCTGAAGATCTGGCTGGGTCACTGCTCTCCAAATATCCTTGATTACCTGGATTACTCCTGTGAGTTTATGATATCTCTTCTGCTTGGAATTTCTAATTTCTAATTCTTATTTGAAAGTTGGTTTTTGGTCAAAATACTATCTATTTCTCAAATCCCTCTTACAGTCTCTCACTCATGACATTTTTTTTTCTTTACTGATTAAGGTATTACATATGTGTCCTTATCCCCCCATTGCCCCTCC